TGAAGACAAACTGAATCTTTGTCTTGAAAAATATAAACATACCAAGTGATTCAAGAAGAAATAGACTACCTTAATAGTCCTACAATTTATCTCTTAAAGCCATCCAAAGAAAACCCAACACCTCTTTTCAAGAGTCAGGGGGTGATGCACGGAGTGAAGAAGCATCATCACTACGCACAGCGTGTTCTTGTTTGTGAGGGCCCCAGATCCAGCGTTTCTTCTCTCAAAACTGAAGCTGCTGGAATTTTCGGGAACATCTCAGCTCCGGCTTCTCACTGTGCTGGCAGGTGACTGAGGTTGGCGTCACTGTTTCGTGGGTCTGGGGCTTTATCTCCTTAGCAGCCTCGTCCCCACAGTTCTGGTAGAACTTCAATTTACCTGCTTCTCCACTTGGCAGCTCTGGAGTCCTCTGACCAGCTGACAAACCCTTGACGTGCTTACACTTCTGCACTCTGAGTCCCAAATGCTCTGCTACCTCGCCATTTCCAATTGTCAGTTAATTTCTCATCATCCATCAATTCGAGATCCAAAGCATGCCGCCTGCCTTCTTCACGGTCTCTTATTTCCTACTGTACTTCTGGATAGAAGAAACCTTCTGCCTGCTGAAATTCCTCGTACCATGCCTGGGGTTGTGCCTTATCCTTCAGTACTTGCCCCAAACCAAGAATGTGAGTGGTTCTATGTTTTATCATCTCCTGGCACTACGTGTGTGTGGTGTATGTGCACACCAGTGACCTATTCTTTGACTTTAAAAGTATAGAACAATGTTTTCTATTGTATAATTCTTTACTGTATAGGATACAAGGCTTTGGGAAACAAATACAAAAATGTTTACAAAAAAAAATTCTACAGACTTGTTGGAGTTGACTTTTCCCCTTGGTGTTGGAGATGCTGGTTTTAACCGCTACTAACTACAGACAATACTTGGCTTTCAAAGATTTAAACAAAAGCATCAAAGGTTTTTTTTTATAAAGAAAACTCCCAGAACGGTTAGGCGGAGCCAAGGAAGTCACATATTTCCTAATTTGGAAACTAAAGATAAATTGGTAAAATTTTCATCTCAGATACTTATAAATATTAAAAAGTCTTTCTCTGATTTATATAGCTAATATTTTCATAATGCCTGAAAGGTCACAGCTGTATTTCTACCTTTTATTCTCTTGTAATTTCAGACTCCCGGTGTTCTCCGGGGTCTGAGGGTCTGAGAGCTGAAGAGACGTGAATTTGTTAACGTCTACCCCATCCACGTTTATTGACGGAGTCACACACTTGAGCCCCAAGTAACAAGAGTTGTCCAAGGTGAAGCTCAGAAGCAAGACAGCTTTCCCAAAGCTCTGCCCTCACCTCGCAGCACCCAGGACGGCCTCATGGCTTACACACCATCTATATCCTGCAGCAAGGCCTGGCATAAAAATAATTCTTTTGAACTGTTTAATTTAAGGAAGGATGCTTTTCATAGTGAAATTGATTAGGGCCATTACTATTTGTCTTGTAAAAATTACTTTTACAGCCCGGCGGTGGTGACGCACACCTTTAATCCCAGCACTCATGAGGCAGAGCCAGGTGGATCTCTGTGAGTTCCAGGCCAGCCTGGTGTACAGAGTGAGATCCAGGAAAGGCACCAAAACTACACTGAGAAACCCTGTCTCGAACAAACCAACAACAACCACAAAAATTATTTTTATTTTGATAAAAATATGGGTTTTCTATCCAACTTTGAGTTTCATCCATAAAACTTTAATATAAATGATTGGTTAAAGCGCCAAACCAACACATTTTATCCTTTTTCTACTAGCTACGGCTCTCTAGCTGGATACCTTTATCCATTTACAGGTGACAGAGCAGCACTGAGAGCGTCGGAACCCTCGGCTGCATGGGTCCCTGTGAAGCGGGACACACGCTGACACCCAACAACTGTGGATACTAATTCCAAAAGAGACCAGGCCCTGAGGGTCGGCCATTCTTGCTAACCAATTCCACAATCACGAACATCAGCCTTCACATCCAACACCATTTATTTGAAAAGATCAGATGGTGTAATTGCTGCAAACAAGGTTGACATACAAAAATCAACCAGTGGTAGCTATTAAAAGGGTGGCGAGGAAGAAAAACTCTCATATCCTTCTACCTCTACCTGTACCTTTAGCAGAGGAAAAATTAAGTATACGTAATATAGACATTCAACATACATAGAATCTGACCAACTAAGAAATGTACAAAATATATGTGAAGAAAAGAATTACAGAATTAATTACTGAGGAATGTAAAAGATCTAAATAGGGAACACCATATCCGGTACTCACACAGAGGTCCCATTACTATAAACATGCCAACTATTAACAAGCTAACCTACACGGTACAACATTTCTAATCAAAATAACACATTTTTTTTGAAACTTGACAAATGTATGTAGGATTTTATTTGGAAGGAAAAATGTGTAAGATTACCAACACCTTAAAAACAAAACCTCGAAAAGCTGTAACACAAGAGTACTACGGAAGCACTTGTTCCTCTTCCATGGGGCGGACTGCAGCATGAGGTTACTCGGATGATACAGCTTTGCCACTGAGGGGCACAAAACTCGGCTCAGGCAAACAGGATCAGTGAAATGCAAAGGAAGAGTGGTCACGGGTACAGTGTTATAAAGGGTTTATGTCCAGAAAATGTAAGGAGCTCTCACCAATCATGGTTTGTTCTTTGTTTGTTTGTTTGTTTTTGGGTTTGTTTGGTTTTGTTTTTTGAGACAGGGTCCACTATACAGCCCTGGCTGTCCTGGAACTCGCTCTGTAGCCCAGGCTGGCCTCAAACTCACAGAGATCCGCCTGCCTCTGCCTCCTGAGTGCTGGGATTAAAGGCGTGCGTCACTCTGCCCAGAACCAATCAGTTCTTAAAAAGACAGCTGCAGTACTAGAATAGTTTTATGGACCTACAACTGATCAGGTGTTATAGGGAAAAAAACTCATCATCCTCACTAGGAAGGCAAAGCTGAGCAGTAAGTTTTCATCCGTTAACACCGGCAAAGATTAAAATGTAAGATACATTACTAGCAAGTTGTGGGTAAACAGACACTTGCATAGCAATGATGGAAGCCTCGTGTTTTCAGCTTTTTAGAATGCTATTTAGCAGCAATTAGCAATAGATTGAAAGATCACATTTGCATACTCCCTGACCCCACAATTTATGATGTTGGATCCACTCCACATACAAGACTGTAACTGTGTGACTGGGGCTGGAGATGGCTCAATGGTTAGGGATGCACACTGTTCTTGCAGAGGACCCTAGTTCAATCCCCAGCACCCATGTCAGGTGGCTCACAGCTGCCTATAACTCCAGCTCCAGGAGATCTGACCCCTGTGCCCTCTGTGGGCACTAACATACATACCTACCCAATAGACCCACAGATGTAATTAAAAATAATTAATATTCTTAAGTGTGTGTGTCAGAATGTTCACATACCGGTATATGTAAACATTTTAAACTGGCAACAACCTAAATGGTGTTGTGAGGCGGAGAGCTGAGGGGAATGATGACCCATACGGCAGCCCACAGATGAACAGGGCAGCTCCCTGTGGACACCTGGTGTTTCACCACCAACAGAGGATTCTGGGAAACAGTTTGTGAGACATGACCTCACATTTGTACATGTAAAGATAAGTCTTTGGAAGTTTACAAGTCAGGAATTTACATCCTTTTATATTGGAATACCTTCACAGAGAATATATGTTTCTTTTCATAGTAAAGGATAAGACTAGGGGAAAGAACATGATATTGAATGAAATACTATAGTCAACCTAAAACTTTTTCTGAGAGTTTATTCCTTTCTTCTAAAGGGCATGTGGTTATTTTAAAAAAAATCTCACCAACAGAAGTCTTTTTCACTTCTGAAGTGCATGGTTTTCTAAGCACTCACTGGATACGTTACTCTAAGGAAGAGACATCAGCCGGCATGGGGCAGACCAGGGTACAACACTACAACCAAGTGTTCTGGAGCTCCCCTGACAGAAGGGGCCCCGGAAGGAAAGGCAATGGACAGGCCATTCTGCTTGCAAGGAAAGACCACAGCAAAGACAAGCTTACATGGGCACTGAGTTTTCAAGATAGACATAGCCAGATAACAAGAGACAGCAAGCAAGTGCAGATATACACACGTACACAACACAACATATGTGCGTATATATATATGCACATGTGCATGCTTATGCAGAACGCTTCTGGATAAAGTGCTGTGAAGATAAAACAATGAGACCTTTGTATGCTGGCATCCAACCAAAACAAGATTCAAAGCTATAACCTCGCTGCCAACATTCACCTAACGTAACTGTTTTCTACACTAGCTGGAAGGCGCTTTACGTTCTGGTCATGCTTATTGTCTGGTTGTTGTTTTGTTTTGCTTTGTTTTCTTACAAAGATTTACAAAAAAAAAAAAAGATTTGAAAATGAAAGTCCACTTTTAAAATCCTATTTTATTTCTTAACTAAAAAAACAAAACACCTTGCCAATGCAAAGTTTAGGCTTCACTGCTTAAATTCTGACAGTTTTCAAAAAACTACCTTACACTGTAGTTTTAAACCTCAAATGTGTTTGAGTTCAACACAAGACAGCCCTGGGGCAACAAACAGCCTCTGCTCCTAACAGAGCTGTCATACTTCGGTATTTTCAGGGCTCCTCCTCCCCAGCAAACCATGAGCAAATTCCCTGCAGGGAACAGCAACGAGTACACACACACACACACACACACACACACACACACACACACACAGATATACATACACAGAGATACACACACACAGACACACACACACACACACAGATATACATACACAGAGATACACACACACAGACACACACACACACACAGATACACACACAGAGAGATATACACACACACACAGATATACACACAGATACAGACACACACACACAGACACACACACACAAATACACACACACACACACAGACACACACACAGAGAAATACACACACACCCCCCCTCCTTACCTCATGCAATGTGAGGTGTTTACCGTCCTTTCTCTTGGAGTCAAACCGGCCATAGATGGCGCTGTACTTCCGAATCTCCTCCTCTTTGTGTGGATCGTCGTCACTCATCTCGAAGATGTGACCGATCATTTTGGCCAACTTCTTATTGTTCTTGAGCAGCTCCTTCACCTCGTTCAAGTCACTCTTGGGCAGCGTGGAGGCCATCCGCTCCACACACTCAGCCACAGAGAGCGCGGCGGCCGCATCCAGGGCCTCGCTGCTTTCCTTCGGGGAGGCCGGGGAGCCCAGGTCCGCTGGGGACAGGCTGTGCTCACTCTCCGTGGCGTGGTGTCCTTGCCAGAGCCTGGACTCACTGACGCTCTGCAGCGCTAACCCTCCCACCTCTGACTTGCTCTGACCCAAGCTCTGCACGCACGTGGTGGCGGCACACTTGGGGATTTTTAAATGCGGTTCCCTCGGGCCGCTATTCCTCTCGTAACTATTGCAGGATATCCCCAGCCACGTTGGGGATCCCTCTGGTAATTTATAGATGGGTATGCTGCTGACGGGAAGGGAAGTCAGTGGCTGGTTGAAGAGGCCAGGGTTCGTCACCCAGTCTCTCAAGGCCTTCTGCAGCCTTCTAACGTGAAGGGGCTTGCTCGCCATGCCCACGAGTGCCATGATTTCCAAAAATTCCTCTTCTCCAGCTTCACAAAGTTGCTGGACATCATCGCCACCTTGTTGGATAAAGGCATCGAAGTAAGAGAGCAGGTTGGCTTTCTGCAATATTCTGTACAGCTGTAGCTCCCCCAGGGTCCTGGGTAAGGCTGTGGCCATCACTGTGGACGGGCTTAACCTACAAAAGGAAGAGAGAAAAGACTCACCACACTTGCTTCCAGCTGTGAACGGGTTGAGACAGACACGACACCTCTGCAGAGCAGTGGACAGTTAAGGGCACTCTCTCCCGACACACCTACTTTATCCAACTCTGTACTCCCAAGCCAGCTGCTAAACTGACCTCTGTGCTCAAAGGAAAACAGCCATGAAACACGGACCAGGAACTCAGACCAACACTCACAGGGTTTATCCCACATTTTCAGCTTTCCATTTTTTTTTTCCGTTCATCATGAAGATGAACGAAAATTAGCAGGAAATAAGAAGCCATTACAGTACCATTCAGAACTCTTTTTTTGTGTCTCACAACATGATAGATGCTATCGTATTATGTCTAATCTTCACGTAAACCCCCTGAGACATTCTATCCATCTCAGTCTATAATCTAGCCAGTGAAAGAGACAGATTTCAATATAAATTGAAGGTAAGAGAATAGGTAGCATATTTAGAGATGGGTGGGGTGAGGGAAGGAGCTGTGAAATGTGTGATCACTCAGACACACGGGATATGAAAGAAGACAGAGTTATCATTTATCAACACTTTCCATGAAGGAGCGATAGCAAGAACTTCTATGAGGCAAAGCAGCCTTTGTGAGCAAGGCACCCACGGATTGAAAGGGGGCAATCACAGAAGGCTGACACCCTCACACCATGGGGGGAAATGGAAGACCATCTCTACTGTAGAGGGCAGCTGACTAGAGGCAACAGAACCAGAGATATGAGGAGCACACTGGAAAACAAAGAGTCACCATGCCCCGGACCTGCTTTCAAAAGCCAACTATAGAAATTAGAATCTCAGCCACTCCAATGCAGAAGGAATCTCTTTATTACTCTAAGAACTACCTTCTCAGCCTGGGACCTCTGAAATCCACATTTTGATCAACTACCAACCTTCTTCAACTCCATGGCTCTCTATTTACATGGACTAGTATAGACATGGCCTCATAAACTTCCAAAACATTAAAAAAAAATTAAGAACTGTTCAGTGGCTTCTGCTAACACCTAGAAAGGAAAAACATCTAGTGTGCTTCTGAAAAACACTCCCTCAGTCCCTCAGCTCCAGTGTGCGAGACTCTGGATTTGGCAAGCTTACAAGATTCTCAGTCTATACATCTAGGCAACAAAAACTACATGTTCTGGGACTGCCTCAGGACTTCGGGCCTACCATCATAGTCATACCATCTCTGTCCTCCCAGTAAAATATTCTGTTTTTTAAATCACCACAGTGAGGACCCATCTAGGGAGGGTCTACCATCTAACTGGACACTAATCCCCAAAACACACCCTTGAGAGACAGACCAAGTTTAATTGTGCATTAAAGTATGCTGTCGCAAACAGAAGGGCTTCTGGAGTATGTCTGCAGGAGAAGCGAAGAAACTCACTTTCGCATCATTTACCTCATGCAGCTGCGCTACATGCCTTCACACGAGCACAGAAAAAAAAGATCCACACACATAAAAACATGCATATGCAGTCTTCTCCATCTGAGGACTGTAGCTTTACACAGTCTACTGAGTGCTACACTAACTCACCATAGTTGTTTCCTAGAATACAGGATATAGGAAGCAGCTGACGGTAACATTTAGATTAACAGAATTTTTCAGTCATTTTATAATAATGAGGGGGAAAAAACGAGTATTTATTGGACAAATATAAAAATACAGAAGAATCTTAGGACCCAAAAGACTCAACTTAGATTGTAGTCTTCTGAGGCAATGGTTTTACAAAATAGCAGTTTCCAAGTCTTATCCTTCCTCCTGTGCTTGACCCAACCTCCTAGCTCTGGAGAGAAAGTCCTTGCGGACTGGGGGAAAGCAATAACAATGTAAAGAATGATGGGAACAAATGCACATTTCCAAAGCGGAAATAACAGATGAAAGACACATACTGCTCAGAACCCCAGGAGGCTTTCTAAAGACCTACACCCACAGGGGGGAGTGGAGGTTTCTCCCTAAGCTTTCCTGCTGGAAGATTGCGTCAGTCTCCTTCAAAGCCCGCTGAGATCATTTAAACACCCACCACTTTATACATTCACTTGCTTCAATTTAAAACTCCTATGAGATTTTCTGTTTCCACAAAATCCGTAACCATTCATGCTTCCACATGAAGGTCAAATGGGCTGAAAGCAAACTCCGCCTGTGTCTCTCTGAGCTGGGTACCAAGGGGTCCCAACACACCAATACATACGAGTAGCTGATACAATAAAGCCACTCAGCTGAAAGCTACTGTACCTGGCTGTTCCTCGACACCATGGAGCACCAAGTCAAGCCTGGCCTTTTCCTAAAATCTGTGGTTTACAGAAACCAATTGGTTCATTCTTGCTGTTTCCAAAAGGTTACCCAGGCCCTACTGCCCTGCAAAGCACACAATCCCTACACCTTGGTCAGCCAGAAGAACCACAGCATTCGAAAGAGGAATTTAAAAACAGAGGAAAAAATCAGGATTAGTTCTAGACTGCTTACTGCACTAAAAGCTAACCTCACATGATGTTCCTAACCCTCACACGATGTTCCTCACAGTAGCATGGGTCACCTGCCTCTTTCAGGCTATGCTAAGTGAAACAAACAGCTGTCTGGTCACAGCTCTTCTCTTACTTTGCTAGGGGAACAGCATTTTCCAGGCCTGGGGCTAAAGATCCAGGGTAAGTCAGAGAGGGGGCTTTCATGGTCAATAAGCCCACTGCGTCAGGACCCCCTGGGCTATCCAAAATCTCAGGGGACTGCTGAGTTTCCACCAGGGCTTCTGGGCCATCTCCTTGCCATCTGCCATGTGCTGAGACGCTGTCACTTGACTCTGGTAATGGCACACTGATTTCCTTTACCATCTCCTCCCGCTATATTCTAAGTTAGGTCACTCTTTGAAGATGTTGGTGTGGAGGGGAATTTACTATGATGGACGGACTAGTCTCGGGTGGCCCTCTGCCTCAGCCTCCTTAGTTAGTGCTGAGATTTCAGCACAGGTGTGGGACACCCTGAACGTCTCTGAGAGTTCTAAACTTCATCTCTTTTCTAGTCTGCCGCGTTATTCCTTGATGCCTTCTCCTGTACCCAAGGGTCAACTGTTACTGTGGGGAGTCACCAAATTTGTGTCTGCGGCTTTGGCCAGGCTTTCCTCAACCTGATCTACTTGCCACTCCTTTCTGAGAAATTGTTAGAGACACTAGTGTACAGATATATAAGACTATACAAACCGAACATTTACTGACAATAAATCATAAGGAAGCCTTCTTAAAAAACAATTCTTCAGTAAACATGCAATTTTGCATTTATTAAAGATGAAAGCAAATTTACATGCTAAGGAGGTGGATGTGCTTGTCTTTACATAAAGAATGAAACCTTGTTTGAGTGTGTGAAATGCAGGACATCTGCACTATTTTTCAGAGCTGATCAATATTTTTATTTTAAAATCATCCCTGCTGAGGATGATGCTTCACATTAATATATACAACAAAATGGCAGCAGCATGTTTGGGGCCACTTCAGAAATTATTAGAAATTCAGTTCCAATCTTAAAGAAAAAATTATTTAATAAATTTGTGTGCTTATAAAGCTTGTCAGCAACTCAAAACAACCATTTTTAAACTCAAACATCCTAACATAATCAGTCCACAATCATGCTAATTAGATACTAGCTCACTACAGAATGATGGCAGAAAAATAGTCTTTGCTTTCTGCAACCAAACTCTTAGTTTCTGTAAATGCAGACAATGTTATATGTACAGTGAAAACAATGAAATTCATAACTTATAATCGTCTTGAATGTGAGTCCACAGGTTTCTAGTTGCATTTGTGGGTCTGTGGAGTGACGGTTACTCGGTGTAAAGTGTGTTTTGTGTTCAGAACTAAGGCCCCAGTAAAGAAGCAGGAGGCGATACAGGCCGCCCCGCCAGAAACACCTCAGTTTCATTACACCTTTAATTCTAAATCTTTTGTTTATTTATTTGATTCTTGTGGAGTTCAGAAACCACTTCCTATTGCCAAAAGCCTTCACCGCTCCACACACTGAACTGCAGGACTCCATGTGGGGTTATGTCCCCTACTTTAAGAACCTGTGGGGTAACTCAGGGCAGAGTATGGAGCCACTACAAAGAGATCTCAAAGTAAAAATGAAGCTTTTTGTTACAAATGAAAATAAAAGAACACTTTTCTGATTTCATAGGATACAAACTGATTTAAAGTGTAACTAAATTTGTTACTTTGAGAGCGTTCTGTGTATTCTCAATGAACAATGCTAAAAGTAAAATAACCCTGAGTATTTGCAGGATTTTATTTTTGAAATGATTCTCATACCTGAAATACTTGAGAATAATGAGCCTGAATAGTTGCTCTGGACTATAATTTGGCATCACCCAAGGACTGCCAAACCTTGTTTGGTGTGCCCCCAAACCAGGGTCTGGTCTCCTCTTCTCCCTGTCTTCGGGACTCCCAGATCTGGTCTTTGCAATCCCTTCAGTCTTTCATTGCACTAGTTTTCCTGTTTCTCTGATGAATAAAAACATTTCATCTTTGTTTTCTCCGATTCTTTTTTCAAATCTGCAGGTACTTAGGCCATATCATCAGCATCAGCCTTCTCTTTCTTTCCCAAAGCATCCAGTTCCGGTTCTCACTGCCCCTTGGCCCCACTTCAATCAGGCACGGTGTCTCTCTCTTCTCTGTAAGTTCCCCCACTGCTTAACACAGACTATCTCATCTACTCATGCAGGGACCCCATTAAAGTTAAAACCTTCCTTTTTGAAAAAAGGAAAAGGGGAAGTGCTGTGGGATGTTCTGTATGCTGTGAATATATGTTGCTCTGATTGGTTGATAGTTAAAACGCTGATTGGCCAGTAGCCAGGCAGGAAGTATAGTATAGGCGGGATAAGCAGACAAGGAGGATTCTGGGAATAGAAAGGCTGAGTCGGGAGTTGCCAGACAGACACAGAGGAAGCAAGATGTGAAGGCAGAACTGAGAAAAGGTACCAAGCCACATGGCTAAACACAGATAAGAATTATGGGTTAATTTAAGTGTAAGAGCTAGTCAATAGTTAGCCTGAGCTAATGACCGAGCAGTTTTAATTAATATAAGCCTCTGTGTGTTTATTTGGGTCTGAGCAGCTGTGGACTGTGTGGGACACAGGAAAACTTTCAGCTACAGACCTCCCACCCAAACCTGCCTTTCAAACCTTCTCTCGAGGCCCTGTCTTGGGCGTTCCACCATGGCCTTTCCCATAAAACTTCTCACACACAGTCTGCCTATAGATTTTCTCTTGACTTTCAGAATGTCGACAGTCATGGCTTCCTTCCTTTCTGTCCAACACCCTCCCCGGTTACTTCTTACTTATTCTGATATGTGAAGCTCTGAGCCAGCTGAGGATGCTGAGGAAAGGCTCCTTCATGAAGACCCAGTTCAGCAGAAGAACGTGTTATTAGGTACTGTAATAAATATGATGCAATGCACTACACAAAAGGAAATAATAAAAGAAAGACTGAAAACAAGGGACTGCTTGGTTACAGGCACCCTAACGGTAGGAATCAGCTCTCATTAATCTTTGCCTTACCTTAATCTTAGGAAAGTGTTCTATGTGGAAGACTCTTTCTATAAAGACAGTGAAGCCCAATGTTTGAGTCAGACTCTGGCTAGCAGCCTCCTTTCATATTTCAAAAGGGATCCTCTCAGTCACCTCCTGTCCCAGTAAACTTCCAACCCTGCAGCAGCACATTCTTCTACATCCCGCTCCTCCAGGATCCTCTCTCACTCATCCTCAACACTTCACTTTTACAGAGGGCTAGGCTGCAGACTCTCATACCAGGCTACTTACCCAAGGGGTCATAGGATGAATGCCAAGTAAGGAACCACATATGGTCAGAACTGTAATCAACACTGTATATGAAGTCAGCCTCCGAAGTCAGCATTTTTTTTTAAGAATTTAGTTCGATCATGAGAGATCCTGGGTCATTTTTGCCTATGTGCCTAAAAATCCAATTCAGTGTGTTTCAAATCAACAGCAAGCATCTCATAAATCTTCATTACCCTTTACCAGATTCGTGTCTATTTGTAAATATTTTCCCTCAATGCTATAAGAATGATTGCCATATACACATTTAGCACCTGCGAATATATATTCTATATACTTTCAGGAAGTCTATGGCAGTCCAGAAGACTCTTCAAGGATTATCGAGGAACCAAGAGAAAATCTTGGTAAGGCCTGACTTATTCATGCACATAGTCTGAATTTTCACTTCAAGGTTTTGGAGTTACTAACAACCTCTTAGAAAACATTATGTAAAACCTTAATGAAGACCTCATGAGTCATGTCACTTACAGATAAAGGGAAATTAATTCCACTTGACTGATTATCTCTTAACATCTAAGTGCGTTCTGGTCTGCCGCCCCTGACAAGTAAAATTTTAAATGTGAAGAGGGCATTGGCCTTAAAGTCTCTGAAGTACCAGCAAATTTCAAAGTGTAGCTTGGAAGCAGACAGGCTTGGGAGAAGGCAGCAGTCACCACAGCAAACGATGGGACTCGGCCTAGAAAAGGAGGGGCCTGTAGGAGATGGCGTTTTTTTCTCATTTCCAATACTAGAATCCAGAACTGACATGTGGTTCAGCTGTGGTTCATGAAGACTGCAGAGTTCTTCTGGATACTCATGAGTTCCAGTGTGTTTCAAATTCCAAAGGATGCCCCTAGACACACTCACCAGGAAGCACAGGGCGATGTGCATCTTGTTTGGACTTTGCTGATGCTGGAGGCTTAAGAGCCGGCCAGAAGCATGCTATGCACACACTCTACCATGAGCTACACTCTCAAGCCCATAGTGATAAATCTTAAGACAATTTCAGGTCTTATTGCTCACATAGTTATGAATTATAACCTTGGGTTCTAACGAATTCACGCTAATTTGAGAAAATTAAAGTGCTCTTCCCTATGGGTTCTTCCCTCAATTCTGAATAAGACTGGGAGCAGTTTTTTGAGAGACTCTTTTTAATTCAGTCCAAATAATCAAAGGGTAAGTTAAAACACATTTATTAGAATTATAAAAAGATAAATCAGACTTACTTGGCTTTAAACAACTACACATTAATATCAACAGATAAACACTAGCATCTCTTAGGATGGATAGGAATTCTTTAGCCAATAGGAAAGGCATCTGACAGACAATTAAGAGCATCTAGGTAGACTGCAGGAAATGTATACATATATAAAAGCTGATGGTCTTCAGAAGTTCCTCTGTGAGAAGTAGTAACATACCATGTAAATTAATATACAGCCCCTAAATACAGTGTGTTGAAAAATGACATATTATTTGAAAACTTAATGATATGTTTTAGCTGTGAAAATTCTCAAGATGAGGATTAATGCTTTTTTCCCCCAGCATCAACTTCTGAAATTTCCCTCCTGTTCCATTATTAAGATGAGAGAGTATATTCTACTACTGTATGAGTTATTGAACATGTCAGATCAGAAAGGAAATTCGCACTTACTGTAACAACATTATTCTTCTTTCTACCACTCAAGGAATCAAAAGAAGCTGGTGAGACAAGAGTGAGACCCAAGCAAAGCACCCTAGCAATCTTACGTTATACTCAAGTGGCTGTTTTTTATTCTGTAATATATTTGATAAAATCCACAATGAAATATGCACACACAAGGGAGTTGCACATTAGCATGATCTTAAACTGTTCATGAAATGGTCACTTTCATGAAAGTAACTAAATATATAATGGCCCTGTGGTATCCAGAACACAGCTTCACATTATTTCATCAAAAACAGGTTTATTACAATGAAAGTTAAGGCCTAACTCCAGGGCAGATTCTCAGTCACCAAACACAAAAATCTAACACATTTGTTTCCATCCAACCATTTTATACTCTAAAATTTGTCCATGAAATAAATTCTTCAAAGGTCTGCCTCACTTCACAATTTCTTCTTTCAAAGCATCCATGGCACAAATTTTAATAAACCATTATGTCCTTAAAGTTGAAGTAAAAGAAAATATGAAACGCTTTAGCTGATTGTCTAAATAACAAAGAAGAAACACGGCTAGGCTTTCCATAGGGCAGTGGATGCCACTAACCAGCAACACGAAAGGAAAACTTCTAGTTTACTTAGGATTACGCAACTACATTCATTTACTTATTTGGTGTAATTTATTAGACATAATAACTCACTAAAATTCCCTGGATCAGCTGTATCAACCTTAAGAACTTGCCATCTGAAATACATTCACATCCAAGGCACAGAATGGAATAAAAACATCCAGTGCCTCAGTGTTTTTCTTCTCAGTTGTTACTGGTACAGTCCCACCTAACAGGGGACAGCGTCAGGAGATAAAAAGTATGCTCAGTAGCGGAAGGGCAGGTTAAGCAAAGATGCTCACATCAAAAAAGTAAAAACAAACAAGCAAAAAATTCTCCCTAACGTTCCCTGAAATTATTTTCTTTCAAGATGTAACGTTCCAATATCTAAACTGGAAACCGGGATGAAGAAAACCAACCTTGATGCCCATCCACAAATTCTCCACAGCATCCTTATTAATTGGCTTACGCTAAGTGAAAGAACAGAATTAAATGTCTGGAATGATACAAGGTGGAGGAAGAATCCTTCCATCCAAGTCACTTGGACTGGCTCCTAAGCAGGGCATGAGGCAGCTCTTTCAACCTCAGGCAGATAGCCTCCACCCAAAACATCCTATGTACATCCTCCCTCCAACAGCTCTTCTTAAACCGGAACATGAATTATAAATATCGTAACATGTACTCTACAAAGAAAGAAATTTCAAAAAGCGGCTATTTAAAAAGGGTAATTCGCTCCGTGTACAAAACAGCGAGGCATCTCGAATGTGACTAATCTATTTCATATCCGGCTCCTCTGCAATCTAATATTACCTATTAAAAAACTGCCAAAATATTTTTAACCGAGATCCCAGAATCTCCCTCAAGAGATTCTGATCTTTGCACTCCGTAAAGTTGGCAGGCACGTCACTGGCAAACCCATCAGCTGTGACAAGTTACTCCAAACCAGCTCTTTCGGATCAAACTGTAAATTAACAGGCACTCCAAAATTTCCCAAGCCTCCCTGAGCCAGGGCATGGTTCCTCCCGGTCGGTTGCTGCAAAACTTGGTCTGCACCACCTACAAACGCACATTCCAGCTCCTACTCCGGGAGCCTCTCTGCAGATATCCGGTTGGACCGCACTTGGGTGTTTCGTCCCCCTAAGGTCGCACACCTGCATCCAAAGCTCCTATGTCCTACACGTGTCTGCACACTTCCCCACTCAAGAGAGGCTCGGCGGCGAGCCTCGCTTCCCTGCACCTGGGTGCCAAGTTTCTTGAGCGAGCCACTTCCAAAGCAAAAACTCTCCTTCCGCTTTGCAAACACAACTACAGTAGGAAGGGGCGGATAACAGGAAGAAAAACGGAGACGGAGCGGGGCACTTTTAGGAAGTGCCCCCCCCCCCGATCGCCGCGGCGGCGCTGGCTCCCCACGCGGTCCGGCGAGCGCCACCCCGACCCCCCGACCCCCCGACCCCCAGCCGGGGAGGACGCGCCCGCGCCCCTCCGCTCCAGCCCCCGAGGCCCGCCCGGTACCTCCGCGGCCCGCGGCTGCGGCGCGCTCGGCGACGACGGCGGCGGCGGCGGCTCAGCCCGGCTCCTGCGGCGGCTGCAGCGGCCGGGACGCCCCCGCGCCCATCGAGGGGGGCAGGGACGCGGTGGGCGCGCGCTCCGTCCCCCGCCCGCCCCGACGGCGCTCGCTCGCTCGCTGGCTCGCTCGGTGGCTCGGCCGCGCGGGCGGAGGCTCGCGGGCGGAGGCGGGCGGGCGGCGGCGGCGGCGGCCCCGGGGCGCCCTCCCTCGGCCTCTCCCGCCGCCCCTCCCTCCCTCCCTCCCTCCCCCGCCACCTCCGCCCCCGCCGCCGCCGCCGCCGCCCCCGCCCCCGCGCGGCGCGCGCTGTCACATCGGGAGATTCCGCTCTTGCTCCATTCGCCGCTCCGGCTCCCGCCCACGCGCGGCCGAGTGACGCAGATCCCGGCGTGGGCGGCCGCGGGGCGGGGGTGGGGGGGGCCGGCGGGGCCGAGGCTCGGCGCGGTCCCCGGGGTGGTGGTGGAGGGTAGAGGGGGTGGGGATGGGGCCCATTCCCACGGCGGCTGGGAGCGCGCGGGTGGGCGCGCGCGGGGACGCGGGGACGCGGGGGCCCCCTACCCCCGGGGAGGACGCGACCGCGGACGGCGCTGCCCGTCAAGCCCCGTCAAGCCCCGCCAAGCCCCGCCGGCCCCGGGTGTGTGTGTGTGTCGGGGGAACGGAGCACCGATTGCGCCCGGCCAGGCCGCCCCACCCGCGCTGGGGCAACCTGGCCCGCGCACCTACAGACCCACAGGTGCCTCGCCCACCCCGCCCTGTGTCCACCCCGGCGTGGGCCTGGGTGGAGGAGGGAGGAAAGGGACCCCTCTGGCCTGGTAACTTAATGCCACCCCTTTTCCACCATCTGAAAAAAACCCTATGGCTGGTCGCTGTGGGCTTCCTGTAGGCAAATGACACCCCCGGGACTGTCTTGGAGGGTGTCAAAATAGAGTTCTTAAGGCAAGCACGCTGTAGAAATTTTTGAGCTCGGTTTGCATAAACTTTTCTAGCCAAAGAAAGCGTTAAAGCACCTTCAAAATTGAAGCTATTGCCAGAAATTAGAAGAAAAAAAAAAGTATTAAATCTGTTTTTTGCCTTCCTTTGGGGGAAAAAAAAAAGTATTCAAGTTTTAATGGCGTGCTCTTACAGCGATACAGGTAGAATCCTGTTTTAATGTACATATAAAAATCCAGTTTTATATAGGAGGCTGTTCCCACTTCCTGGCTGGCCTCCCAGTGTGTGCCTACTTGGTCGAAGGGGATACAAGGCATTCTTTGAGAAGAGAAATTCTTCAACCACATCTTTATGTTGCAACAATGGATGGGATGATAATATTGAAAGAAAAAGACCTTATTAAATAAACCTTTTTTTCTTTTTGTAAAAACATGTTCTACAAATGAGTGATGTCAGTGGAATAAATATGTACTTAAATATATAAACATATAAATACATAGTTAAATGCACAAATATACATATTTAAACTGAAATATCTTCCCTGTTAGTGATAAGGTCTATCTGGAATAGTTTGGTATTTAAAATAAATATGCTTAGTTCCTCAAATTCTTCAGGAAAAAAAATGCTGAAAGTTTCTCTCCACCCTTCTGGATTGTGGTGGATTTATGTAGCTGTGGCTCCAGCTCTCCAAAGAGAAAGCTAATTTGGGTGGTAGTACAGTCAAGGCTACTGAGACAGTTTCTTGGCTGGTGTGGAAAGGTAGAGGTTAATGGGTAGTTGGGCAATGAAATCCACAAAATTCTTCTAATTCTTCACTGGAACCCTAATGGTTTGCAAACATGGCTGGTTCTGAAAAGCTGGGGTGGGGGTGGGGGGTGCTTTATGCGATGTAGTTAGTGATTCATGAACTCGACTTCACCTGCCCTGCGTAGCCTTCCCTGGAAATAACTACATGCCATGCTCTTCCAGAGAGCGTGTGTCCGCTCTGCTGAAGGTGACCCAGATGAGGAAATGTGACCAGAGACTCTGGTAGCTGGTTATTTCTACAGCTAAACGCTCAAGTCCTTCCTTGTTTGTTTTCTGGGCACATTAGATAGTGTGTTCTTCCCACAGCGAGAATGGCATTCTGGGCCCACTTTGATTTGCTTAAATGCCCTATGGTGCTGGGGGAGGTGGTGGGAGGGAAGAAAATGAAAGAGAAAATCTTGAGCTTTTGGGCATCCAGTTCTGTGTAACGACACTGGCGTCCACGTGACTGCTGGGGGAGAGGTGAGGTATTCACCTGTGTGGAGAGAACTTGGAGGAGCCAGCGCTGATTCCTGTCCGGTGCCGCCACCCCCATCACTTCCCTGGGCTCAGGGCAGGGTCTTCTACCACCCCCTGGTGCCCTCGTGGTTGGTGCATGGTGGGAGAAGGAGAATGCTCTGTAAGGCAGCAATTACGGAGTTGCGTTGTTCTCGGAAGGTCCTCTGGGAGAGATTAAACAGTTTTAGAATTTCTTGGAGGCAGTCCCAGGCAGTCCTAGGAGAACATGGCAACACAAACGGTTCTTCTGGAGACCATTTGGGTATCTTTTGTTAAAAAGATCCCCGCAGTGGCTCTGTTTCTTCTGTTTTGATTTTTACCATAAATACCTGGATGCTTAAGTTACTCATGTTCTCTAGTACATCTTGTTAAGTGCTAATTAAGTACCAAGTTTAAGGTTAAGTTCTTGGGACACAAATAACCAGTTTAAATCATGGTTCTACTCCCAGAACTTTTCTATAAAACAGCAAAAATAAGGAGATCAAAGGAAAACCAAAAAGCTAAGGAACATGGTATGTTTCTTTTTAGTGGTTTTATTTCCTATATAATCTCACAGATGCATGGGCCAGCATTAAGACCATCCTCATGGGCACTCCTTTAAATTCAAGTCACAGTGAAATACAACTAAAGTTCTTTAAAATGGGAGGATCCTGTCTCATCCCATATTCCAGAAAGAGCCTAAAGGTTACTGGGATGTCATCTCTAATTGTTTCTGTCTCTCGGTCTTTTGTTTACAGTTCTCTCTCTCTCTCTCTCTCTCTCTCTCTCTCTCTCTCTCTCTCTGTGCGTGTGTGTGTGTGTGTGTGTGTGTGTGTGTGTGTGGTGCTAAACAATGGCTGACACATACTAGTCAATAAATATTTGTTGAGTAACAGAATGAAATAGAAAGTAGGAACTTACTAGCAAATGACTTCTTGTATGCTCTGTAGATGTTCTTAGTATGAATATCATTTCCTAATAGAAGAATCTAAAATGTCTGCTCTCCACTTCTGAGCAAATGTGTTACTCGTTCAACAAAATACTGAGGGTAAGAATACGTTTACAATAAATTGCAATATAATAAGTTCCAAAGTAATGTCTGACTGTTGGAATAATTCATATCGTATTTTCAGGCACAAACTTCTTCTTCTTCTTTCTTTCTTTCTTTTTTTTTTTTTTTTTTAACAAATTGCAAAGGTTGTTAAATACACCAAGTTCTGAGCGCAGTTTTAGTAGTTTGGAAAGCAGCCTGGGAAGTATTGTCCCTCATCCCTGATTAACTTGTGTTTATTCTTGGGAACACCATCTGCAGACATCCTAGGGTTAGCCCTTGTCTCCACAGGCAGGGGTAGACAGAGCTATTTCTCATGACTTAAACCTAGATCGTTCTAAGTTTTAGAAACACTTTTTTAAGAAACCTGAAAGCCCACTTGTAGACTACTGTCTAAGCTTTTATCATTCCCTGATAAGGTAGATTCGAGCCCTTTACTGCTAATTTTAACCAATGTGAAATCTGTCATATCATAGTCAAATCTAATATTTATCCTGCAAGAAAACCAAATTTTCTCATCAGAGTTTAGAAATTATAATTTTTCAAAGAGTTTTTGGATGGGGATTCAAAATGATAAAATAATACAATGTACACCACCAATAAGTCACAGTGAATACACACAGTACACCTTTAAAAACAGGCTGGTTTGTAGCAAATGAATACTTCCCTGTCTTCTAATGGCTTCCGGAGCATGGGAAGCTGGCCCAGAAGAATCAAGATTGCAGTGGATGGTGGCATCAGATAGCAGCAAATTACATGCTGAGAAAATGATTCCCTTTGCACTTCTCCTTCTGTCCTCTGAAGGGAGAAATCCAAGTTGGTGCCAGCCTGCCTCTAATCCTCTTACACTTACTAAATTCTGCCTTAAAAAAAAAAAAAGAGAGAGCGTGTGAGAGAGATACCAGGTTTCCTTCAGCGCCTCTGGCAGGCCTTAGTCTGTAGCTAGAATTCGGAAACATTGTTTCCCTTTTAAGGTCCTCTAGTGAGGAAAGTGAAATTCTCTGAATATCAAAATGTCTTTTAAATAGATGTACTTAACTAAAGTAAACCCAAATGTATAAAGAAAACTGTTAAGGAATGTAAATTGTGAAATTTGTAATTAAGAAAGGTAAATTATGAAAAGCAATATAGTTTCCTTAAAAATTAAAAAGTAGAATTGCCAAATCCTATGTCAATGATCAATATATTTTACTGAGAGTGTACTAAAGGTCATGAAATCAGTGCCGGAGAGATGCCTTTGACAGCCTAGGTGTGGAATCAACAAGTTTCTTATCAGTGGATGAGCTAAGAAGACGTGGAATATGAACAATAAAATAGTATTCGGTCTTCACAGGGCACAAAATCCTGTCATTTGCAACAGTGTTTGTGAACCTGGAACACATTATGTTAAACAAAATAAGCCAGGCCCAGAAAGACAAAGACCTCATGGTCTCATTCATGTGGAGTCTAGGAAAACCAATCCCATAGGAGAAGCACAGTGATAGCTAACAGGAGCTGGGGTGGGGTGGGGGGATGGGAGGGTGGGCATGGGGGAGGTGAGCGGAGAGAGGTTGGTAAGGATATACCAGGCTTCAGTTAGGAAAGAGGAGCAAATCTGGGGGATTTGCGTACAACTTGGTGACAGAATTAGCAATATGATATAATCTTGTGTTCACCGAATAAGGTGGTAACTGCTAAGTAACAGGTATGTCACTTAGCTAGATTTGACCATCCCGTAGTGTGTGTGCAGCAAAACATTGTAGGGGCTGAAGAGGTGGCTTAATGGTATTGACTGTGTGTACACGTTGCCTTTCCAGTCTGTGACAAAGCATACTAGCAATAGCAACGTACAGGAGAAAGGGTTTGTGGTGGTTTGAAAGAAAATGGCCCCCCTAGGGACTGGCACTGTTAAGAGGTGTGGCCTTGTTGGAGGATGTGTGTCACTGTGGGGGTGGCCTCTGAGGCCTCCTGTTCTCAAATTATGCCCAGTATGGAACACAGTTCACTCCCTGTTGATTGCAGATTAAGGTGTAGAACCCTCAGCTCCTTCTCCAACACCATGTCTCCGGCACACTGCCATGTCCTACCATGATGATAATGGACTGAACCTCTGAAACTGTAGGACACCTCCATTAAATGTTTTCCTTTGTAAGAGTTGCTGTGGTCTTGGTGTCTCTTTACAGCAATAGAAATCCTAACTAACACAAGTTGGTACAAGAAGTGGGGTAGTGCTGTGATAGGCCAGACCATGTTTTTTGTGCAGAGGAATCTGGACTTTGGGACTATGGATTAGAAAAGAATTTGAATGCTTTAATTGGGGCTTAATGGGCCACCCTAGTAGGAACATGGAAGAGAGTGGGGCTGAGAGCAATTTGAACTGGGCGGGCCTGTCTCAGGAGGTTTCAGAGGAGAATTTAGTATGTTGCCTAGAGATCATTCTTGTGATATTTTAGTGAAGAATGTGGGTACTTTTTGCCCTTCTTCAAAGAGTCTGCCCGAGACTAAAGTGAAGAGAGTTTTGGATTAACTTTGTTGGCAGAGGAAATCTCAAAACAAAATATTCTGTCATGTGATTATTAGTGTTGACTCTAATGAAGATTTATAATGAAAAGGAACAAGCTGGACAAAGAAAAATAAAAAATGTACAATTTGAGGAGAAAAAGGAGCACCAGGAAGTGGAATGGAATTAAGTCCTGTGTTCAAGGAGACAAACAGATTAAGAAATGGAATAAAGGCAGTGGTGAACTCAGGGAAAGATTCCACCCAGTTAAGTTTCCAACTTGTGAAAAGGAATTAAAGAAAATCTTAGGGCCAGGTGTGATGGTGCACGCCTTTAATCTCTGCACTCCAGAGGCAGAGGCAGGCAGATCTCTGAGTTTGAGGCCAGCCTGCTCTACAGATCCAGTTTCAGGACAGCCAAGTATAGGCAGTGAAGGAAACCATTGACAACAGAAAGCTGGTGAAGATGTATTTGAATGAGGTTGTCATGTTCCAGCCCAGCAAGTGGCAGAACTTGGCAGATCCAGCCATGTGGTGCTGGTTTTATAGGAGAAAGGGAGCTATGGAATATTCCTTCACCACTAAGGAAAGCCGCTGAGGCCAGACGTCTGTCAGGGGTGTCCCTGAATGGAGGCCCAGAGGGGCCATTGTGTGAAGCTGTGAAGGAGAAGCCTGGATCGCCTTGGAAACCCCAAGATGTGGGAGATGCCAGAGTTGTGAGGTACCTGCTGAGGAAAATTGCTAACAGAGAGTAAAACCAGCCCAAGAAAAAGAAGCGTATTGCAATCAACAAAGCTGAATGGAGCTTGGACATCAGACATGGAGATGCAGAGTTTGGAGTTTGCCCAGCTGGCTTTCGGTCTTGCTTTGGTCCAGTATTTCCTCATTAGCCTCCCTTTCCTACATTTTAGAATGGTAATGTATATCCTGTGCTGATATATGTTGGAAGTATGTGATCTCCTTTTTGACTCTGATTTTGCAGGGGATTAAGAGATTGCATGAATCTCAGAAGAAACTTGGAACTTTAGACTTTTAAATAAGTTTGAGACTATTTTAGACTATGGGGATTTTTGAAGTTGTACTAAATGTATTTTTTTTTCATTATGGCTACCAGCCTAGAGGAGAGAGGGGATGGAATGTGGTGATTTGAAAGAAAATGCCTCCCAAAGGGAATGGCACTGTTGGGAAATGTGGCTTTATTGGAGGAAGTCTGTTACTGTGAAGGTGGCTCTGGGGTCTCCTATTCTCAATCTCTGCCCAGTATGGAACACAGTTCACTTCCTGTTGCCTGAGAACCAAGATGTAGAACCCTCAGCACCATGTCTGCCTATATGCCACCAGCTCCCATCATGATGAACCTGTGAAACTGTAAGTGAGCCACCCCAATTAAATGCTTTCCTTTATAGGAGCTGCTGTGGTCATGGTGTCTCATCACAGCAATAGAAACCCTAACTAACACAGGGTCTCTGGCTCACAGTTCAAAGATAGAGTCCATTGTAGCTGGGAAGTCAAAGTAGCTGGAGCTTGAAGTAGCTGCTCACATCATATCCACAGCCAGGAAGCCGAAAAGAATGAACATGTTCATCTCACTTTCTCCATTTTATACAGTTCAGGGCCCAAACCTAGGAAATGACGCTTTTAGTATACCCCACCTGTCTTTTTGTTGTTGTTGTTGTTTTGGTTTTTCAAGACAGGGTTTCTCTGTGTAGTCCTGGCTGTTTTAGAACTCACTCTGTAGACCAGGCTAGTCTCAAACTTAGAGATCCTCCTGCCTCTGCCTTCTGAGCCCTGGGATTAAAGGTGTATGCCACCACCACCTGGCTGAGGCTAGCCCTTCTTTTAACCTAATCAAGAAAATCCTTCTAGGTAAGCCCAGAGGCTTAACCAAAAAATCCCTCACAGGTGTGGCTAGATTCTGTTAACTTGAATAGCACCAACTATTACACTGGGTAACTATGAGAGCCTGACTTTGAACCCCAAGATCCCACATAAAAGCTCGGCACTGTAGCACTCACTTGTCAATCCTGTGTTCCTACAGCAAGGAGGGAGGCAGAGACTAGAGGCTCTGGAACTTTGGGGCCCATTAAGATGCTTATGCAAACAGAGATCCTTCCTCAAACAAGGTGGAAGGCAAGGACACTGGAAGGTGTCCTAGGACATCCACAAGCACACTGTGGCATGTGTTGCCTGACCCTCCCCACGCATGTACAACATACACACACATACACACATTCATGCACAACGTACACACACACAAAGCAAATATGCTTCTGCTTGACACATTATGTATCAGTTTAAAAGTAAAGTTAGTAAATACTATTTTAGTGTTGCGTGAGAATAAGCATTTGTCAGCCACTGTAACACTTGATAAGCATGGATTCTGTTGATCTTTGCTTGCGCTAGGAACCATATACTGCTATTCACATCGTCATCTGTTTCTGTCAAGAGGAAATTGGGGGCTGCGATGGCTTAGTTGATAGTGTGTTTGCTTGAGAACCTGAGTTTGATTCCCAAGAATCCTCATTTAAAAAGCAAGGCGCAGAACACACACCTGGGATCCCGTTGCTGGCTAGGTAGAAACAGGAAGATTTCTGGCATTTGCTGGTCAGCCAGATGAGTCAAATTCTAGAGCTCCAGTTTTATAGCAAGAGACTATCTCAAAAATAAGGTAGAGAGTGTGTAAAGAAGAACTACAAACTCTAATCTCTAGACACACACACACACACACACACACACACACACACACACGTGAATGCATTCACGCACATACATGAACACATGTACACAAAGAGGAAATTAAAATGCAGAATACTGAAATACTAAATCCTGTAAGAAAGCTAGACTACAAAGTCAAGAATCAGATCCCAAAGCCCACGTCTCTACTGTTACACTGTGGGGCCCTGAAACATTAAGCCATTGCCAGAGATTTCAGAAATGCCAGCTTACATGTTTCTGTTCTCCTTGAAGGCCAAGATGCATTGTCCATGGCCAGCTCAGTTCAAGACAGCTTCTGCACCCCTGCGCTCCCGCTGCACTCAGCTCTGGGCCACAGGCAAGGATCACAGGCTTCTGTTGCTGCAGTGCTGATCAGCTTCCTAAAAGATAGCCCCTGGGAAGAGGACCTGTGCTGTGCCCTGTAGAGTGGGATAGCCCCTGGGAAGAGGACCTGTGCTGTGCCCTCTAGAGTGGGATAGCCCCTGGGAAGAGGACCTGAGCTGTGCCCTCTAGAGTGGGATAGGCCCTGGGAAGAGGACCTGTCACTTTTAATTATTAAAATATTTTGGTGACTAGTGCATTTTCAAAACCAAGGGGCTCAGCAGTTAAGAGCACTGGCTGCTCTTCCAGAGAACCCAGGTTTGATTCCAGCACCCACATAGTAGTGCATAACTGTCTGTAACTCCAGTTCCAGGGGTGCCAATATCCTCCCACAGGCCTGCAGGCAAAACACCAATGCACATGAAATGAAATGTAAACTTTTTGAAAATCTATACTCTTTAAATCTAAAATCATTTTTAATGAAAAACATATGGAAGGGAGTGGCTGTGACATCTCAGTGAAAATTGCACTGAAGGAGCACTAATTTATTACTTTAGAAAGATCTCTGTAAAATGCTTCAGTGACTCAGAGCAAAAGAAAGCATAACAGATCCTGAAGGAGAGAAAGTAACATTAGTGCCCATGACCCCCAAGATCTAAGTCAACATAATTCCATTATCCTCCATTACAGCCTCATAACTGCTCTGTGCTTAATGTATTTTCCACTCAGTGTGGTGGTGATCCTAGAGTTAACTGAGTCATGGTCAACATTCATATGACCAGAAATGCAATTCAAGTTCCCCCTATTTTGCAATACAAAATTTAAAACCTTGAAAGTATATTGAGGATTAAATAGATTTTTTGAAAACTTGAATCTCTTAAAGTATATGGAGGATATAAAAAGTTAAATTAAGAGATTTATTATCTTTATAAACTAAAGATAAATACAATAATTGATTAATTTAAGAGTCATGAATTAAGAAAGAGCTTCTTTACTAAACAAAAACCAAACAAATTAGCGTGCATTGAATTTTATTAAAGGTGCTATAGAATTTTAAGGGGTAAAGGATTATAAAGTTTCCCTGCTTCAACCTCCTTTGAATATTTAAAGTGCATTTAAATACCTTGCAGAAAGTAAGTATTACTATAATTTCAGCTTCCAGTAGTTTCTTTGTAAATCAGTAGTATTGAGCTCTCAATGTAATGCCAGGTGAATGCAAACAAATGGAATGGTTAGATTCTAAAGACAGACTACAAAGGCTTAGAACATGCATGGGAAGTTATTCTGTTACAGTGTTTTGGGGAACTAGACCGGATCTTAGAAGTCATCTAATCCCCGTAGCTAAGGAAATGTACAGCATACACTGCTAATCTAAAGGGCTAAACACATAATATTAGGTGGTAATTACAGCAAATGGTTACCTGAACAAATTAGTCTCCGAGATTTATTCAGACATCTTTTTCTTGCCCTTTAGACCTCTTGCACCTCACCGCTCCAGGTTGCTCCTCTTTGCTGGAGTTGCTGAGATTAGCATCCTCTGCCCACTTTCCCAGATGGGTCTCTGAGCCATCTCCACCAGCAGGCTGACACTCAGCAGGAAAGGGCTCAGCTTCATGCAAGGGTAGGGAGAAAATCCTGTTTCTTTCCTGGACAAAAGGTGTGTGTGACTCAGCAGCCAAAATAAGGCCCTTTTCTGCCTCATAAAAGGAACAAAGTAACCAGGGGAGAGGAGAGAAAGGAAGAGCAGCTTTCATGAGGCAAGTGGGCAAGATCTGGAGGAAGGTGTGAGGGGCAGGACAGACAAAGGTACCGGTGTGCTTAGAAGAAGCTGCCTGGATGGTACACGGCTGTCATGGGAGAGTGAAACATCAAAGAAAAGGTACCGAGTGTGCGGCACTCCCGTGGCAGAGACTGCGGAAAAGACTGAGGCTAAATCCTGCTAACATCACTTCCCTCTGAGAGAGCCGCAGAACTGTGGAGACAAGACAGAGAATAACCCAGGGTGACTAGGACAATGGGAGACCCAGGGAGAGAGGGATGATCTCTGCGCTTTGCTGGACTGTATCTGTAAGTGTGTAAGGAACAAAGACTTGAGAGGCAGCTCAGTCTGTAAGGTCCCTGCTGTGAGAGCATGAGGCCTGAGTTCAGAGCCCCAGCACCACACACATGGAACACCACGCTGGGGAAGCAGAAGCAGGACAGACCCCTGGAATGGCCAGCCAGTCTTGCGAACGAACCTACGAGCTCCCCATTCAAGGAGAGACCTTATCTCAAAGACTGAGGTGGAGAGTGATGTTGACCTCTGATCTCTACCCTCGGGGAGGTGCACACCCACACATACATATAGATACATATACACATACATGTACACACACATACATGTACACACACACATACACACACACACACACACATACATATACAAAAGGGGTTCAAGCCCTAGCCAGATGCACTGAGTGCTTAGTTAACATCTGTGTTGCCTGAACATCTAACCAGCTACCAAAAAATCGAGTGTTCATACTGATGAGTCACGTTAACTGTCACAACAAATTAGGAGGCGACACTTTCAAAGGACGGTGCGCAGTGCACATATTCTACATAGACCTGAAACTACTAAAAACAGGAGCAGAGGGAGGCTCCAGTCACGTATCATTGAAGTTACATTTTTAGAGTTTCTACTTAGCCAAGCTTACCTAATAATAATGATACGGGCCAAGAGTATGCGAGAGTCAGCGTGTGTGTGTGTGTGTGTGTGTGTGTGTGTGTGTGTGTGTGTGTGCGCGTGTGTTGAGATAGCGTCTCAATGCAGCCCTCGCTGACCTGGAACTCAGCGCGTAGATCTAGCTGATCTCCCATTTGTGCTGATCCTCCTTCCCTCGTCTCCTGGTGCTGGGACCGTGGCGGGCACCACCACGCCTGGCCCACTAGTAAAAAATGTTAAAGATTCTGATTTTGTCATTTTCTGGGTATTGCTATATTTTTCTTTCTACCGTAGTAAAATCTCCAGTAGTGGCAAATACGTTCCTTAAGTAAGATATCACAGGTTCCTTGGACAGCTTGGGGACTTTCAATGACTGATAGAAGGGCAATTTGGCAAGTAGAACCACTGTTTCAACGTGTTCATAAGGTTTTGTCCAACATGTTAACTTCTTGAATATCATCCCAAGTTTATAAATATTTAAGAATAGGATATTTATCACCACATTTTAAAATGGGAAAACAAAAGCATCCAAAACATTGAGTTGGTTCAATCACTATATATAATTCAGTATAATTATTCAATTAACATGTACTATTATTCTATTAAAAGTTCAGAATGTATTGCTCAAGGTAAAAGTGGGACAGCAAAACAACAAATGATCTTCCTATGCCAAAGACAAGGGGGTGGGGGCTGAGCTGGCTGGTTTGTGTCAACTTGGCACAAGCTAGAGTCATCTGAGAGGAGGGAGCCTCAGTTGAGAAAATGCCTCCACAACATTGGGCTGTGGGCAAGCCTGTGGGGCATTTTCTTTTTCAAATTAGTGATAGACCCCTGGGTATGGTGATATTTCATTTGTACTGAAATGTGATTTTATTTGTATGTTAATAAATAAAGTTGCCTGGGGGTCAGAGCTAATAGCAAGCCATAGCAGAAGCCGGGCGGTGGTGGTGTACACCTTTAATCCCAATCACATGACAGGCAGATCTCTGTGTGTTCAAGGATACAGCCAGCATGGAGACACAAGCCTTTAATCTCAATACCAACCATAGAAGACCTGGAGGGCTGTACAGACAGGCAGTGACGAGGAGGTCATGTGGTTGGGTTTACAACCAATGAGAAGGCAGAACAGAAAGTCTGTAAAAAGACAGACACACAGGAAGTAGTCCTCTTTCTGAGGAGAAGGATGGCAGCGAGGGGTAAGAAAGGGTTTTAGTATCAGCTCTTGGCTGCTGCTCTGACCTCTTGGGCTTTTAACTCTGCATTTGGCTCTGTGTTTCTTATTTAATAAGACTGTTACATCTACACCTGGGCTGGTGGTCCTGGGTTCTATAAATAAAGCAGGCTATGCAAGCCATGAGGAGCAAGCCAGTAAGCAGCACCCCTCCATGGCCTCTGCATCAGCTCCTGCCTCCAGGCTTCTGTTCATTTCAAGTTCCCACATTGACTTCCTTCCCTCCGTAGACCTTGGTTGAGGCTGTGTAAGCCAAACAGACCTTCCCTCCCCAGCGTGCTTTTCACCGTGGTGTTTCTTCACAGCAATAGTAACCCCAACTACAGCAGGAGGAATTTACCAAATGTTAGAAAATGTGGTCTGGGTGATGGCGTTATAGACCATTTTGTTTTCTTCTTAGGATTCTTTCAATTTTCCAATGTCTTAACAATAAACATAAATTAATTTGAAAAACAAGGAAATGTTTAAACTACGATCCAGCTTCAAAAGCAGTTTACAGTGAAAAATGAAAATTGTATATATTCATGAGCTATTTGAGAGAACAACAAAAGTCAGGAGTTTCTCCAACAAATGTGCATTGAGCACTTAGTAGGTACAAATGTATACTGAGCACTAGGTAATCAGTCCCACAGAACTACTGTCTTGAAAGTCTACCTCCCTATAAACACCCACACAGAGACACACACAGTCAACACAGAGACACACACACACACTCACACAGACACACACACTCACACAGAGAGACTCACACACAGAGACACACACACTCACACAGAGAGACTCACACACAGAGAGACACACACTCATACAGAGAGAGACACACACACTCATACATAGACACAGACACACACTCACACGGAAACACACACTCACACATAGACACAGAGAGAGAGAGAGAGAGAAACACACATACATACTCACACAGAGACACACACACACAGAGACACACTCTCACACAGAGAGAGACACAGACACACACTCACACAGAGACACACACTCACACACACATAGACACAGACACACACTCACACAGAGACACACACTCACACAGAGACACAAATTCACACAGAGACACACACTCACACATAGACACACACACACACTCACACAGAGAGACCGCTTGCTTGAGCATCTTTAATCTGATGCCATAGGTAGTCTTTATTAGTCACTCACCTGTGTCTCTGAGTGTATCTCCAAAGACTGATGTAGTCTCCAGGCTTTTGTATCTCACAATGACATCAGACGGAAGTGAACTCTGGGCAGGCTGAGTGGCCGTTTACCTGCAGAAAGCCAGACAAACAGCGCTGGTCATGCTCGACATAGGCTCTCCCCACAGACCACTGTGGTTCTGTGGGGGAACAGAAGAGCCACTCCCTTTGAGGCTGTGGCTTTCAGTCTCAGCAGCTCTTTCATTTTACATCAACCATCTCCTCCAAATGCCAGCTCTGAGCCGGGCGTGGTGGCCCATGCCTTTAATCCCATCACTCAGAGATAGAGGCAGGTGGATCTCTGTAAGTTTGAGGTCAGCCTGGTCTACGGATCAAGTTTCAGGACAGCCAGGGCTACACAGTGAAATCCCGTCTCAACAAACAAACCAACAGCTCTGGTCCACCCCTGATCAGCAGGCTTTAAGCTACCCCATGCCCCACTCTGGGGTCAGCCCCCTGCTGTGGGATGGTCTATATGTCAAATGTGTTGCTGATTGGTCAATAAATAAATCACTGATTGGCCCGTGGCCAGGCAGGAAGTATAGGCGGGACAAGGAGGAGAATAGAGCTGGGAAGTGGAAGGCTGAGGAGAGAGACATTGCCAGCCGCCATGACGACAAGCCGCATGTGAAGATGCCGGTAAACCACAAGCCATGTGGCAAGGTATAGATTAATAGAAATGGATTAATTTAAACTATAAGAACAGTTAGCAAGAAGCCTGCCATGGCCATACAGTTTGTAACCAATATAAGTCTCTGTGTTTACTTGGTCGGGTCTGAGCGGTTGTGGGACTGGCGGGTGAGAGAGATTTGTCCTGACTGTGGGCCAGGCAGGAAAACTCTAGCTACAGCCCCCAGCTATGGCCTTCAGACATGTGCTGTAGAAGGGTGTGAATTTACTGACTTCAGTCTGTTCTGGCTGTTTTCCTCACATTGCCCCTCGAACCTCAAGGTCTACCCAACGGCAGAACTCCCTTGGTGTCAGGGCTGTGGATGGTGCTACCAAGTTTCCCATGGCAGACTGCCCAGATGCTTATGACCCTGATCCGAGGAGCACCCAGCTGCAGCACAAGGCCCTCTGTATGTGCCTTGTCACCCTCCACTCCTACTCATACATACTATGGATGGGTGGGAGTTTTGATGTTAGGATCAAGAAATAGGCAGGTCACTGGCTAATGAGGTGGTGTTTCTTAGGCAAGAAGGGGTATTCAGACAAGCAGAAGAATATGAGGTCAGTTAATGTCAGGGAACTCTGTAAAACATCAGAATGTTACCCCAGGCTTCCCACACAGCTCAGGAGTCTGCATGTGAGAATCCTCTGGGCAAGAAGGGAGGGTATAGAGCTGCCAGGACACTCCCATTGGTCCATCCTCAGCTGGGCCCTGGTAGTGCTCCAGCAGTGCTCCGGCAGTGCTCCGGCAGTGCTCCGGGCAGCATCAGCGGCTCTCTCTTCCCTCTTTATTCTGCATTGCTTCAAGCCCTTCCCTAGCCTCCACCTTCCTCTCAGGCACCTGGTGTGGTCCTGATGTCCCAAGTTTGTTTCCTAACAAGGAAGGGCCTGATGAGATCTAAAAATACCTGGAGGTGTTAAGGTTGCTGCTGTGTGTTGCCTTCCAAAGATGTTTCTGCCTGGGGACTGTTCACTTGTTCAGCTTTTGATCATCCACCAAGGGATATACTAAACCTGTATGCACAAGAGAAGTAAAAAACAAAACCAACAAAACCCTTCTGTGAGTCCTTGTCTAGAAACGGGAATAGATAAGCAAATGAACAGTTGCATCTATCAAAGAGTGATGGTTCTGACTTGGATGTGGGTGAGTGCTGAATATCATCCAAGCCTAGCAAGAGAGTCCCGGGGCTTAAAGGATGGACATAATAGATGTAGCGAGTGCCCTTGTTCCTCTGCAGCTACAGGAGCAGAGGCAGAGAAGGATGCCATCAGTGAATTAGGGAGGTAATTGCAAAATGAAACAAGCCTTGTTCTAAAGGGCTGGAGAATGAGATATAAAGAGGGTAGAATTTGAGGTTGCCAGACCAGACTCTTCAAGGGCCCCATTGGACTCAGAGCAGCACAGGCTTTGTGTTGTATTTCTCATGTATTTTGCATTCGAGAAGTCCTGGGGTTCACCAGACATCAGATCAGCAGACACCATTGGCCAAGAAGGAGGTGAGTGGAAAAGTAACAAGGAGACATCAGTTGTGCTGGCGAGACTCCCGGTTGGTCTGAGCGTCAGGTATATGCTCACTTCGTAATCACGTGTGGAACTGCACACTTAGGTTTTCTGTATTATTACTGTTGTGTTATCTGCATCCCAATAATTTATAAAATAAGAAAACAAAAGCTAAGAAAACAGAAAGGTAGCACAGATTCTCGGGCCTCAGTTCCAGACACTGACTGAACGTATATAGCCTGGGACTAAGGAATCTTTTTTTTTTTCCCTTCCAGACTAGTTCCACCATGTTGCCCAAGCTGATCTAGCACTGAGGCCCAAGCACTCTTCTCACTTCAGTCTCCTGATGTGCTACCATATTTGTGGTATCTGAATTATTTTAAACAGTAACTTCAGAGCAGAGACCAACCTGTGGATTGTGATCCCTTTGGAAAACCCCTGTATCTCCAAAATTATTTACATTACAATTCATAACAATAGCAAAATTACAGTTATGAAGTAGCAACAAAAATAATTTTGTGGTTCGGGGTCACCACAACATGAGGAACTGTATTAAAGTGTCCCAGCTTTAGGAAGGTTGAGAACCACTGCTCTTGAGGCTGTAAAGAGGGATTCCCTAGCCTACACCATGAGAACACTGCTAGGGATGTTGGATGCCACCAAAAATGTGCAAGCAAGATGCTTGCCCTTCTGAATGTGCAGATCAGGAGAGGAGAGGGTGAGCAGTGTCTTGATCTTACCCCCTGTTAGCATCAGCAGGCTTTCATCCCATACTCTCTGTGCTTTCGAAAAAGACAATTGTGGCACTAATGACTTAAAATACTAAATGTGGGTTTTTTTGAGTTTCATTTTGGAATTTTCTTAAATATGAAAATACTTTACCTTGACACATTAATTTCCAGTGGCTGAATTTAGGCAGGAAACAAGTCCCTCAGGTGGATATGCCATGACTCCAAGCAGCTTTCTGGAATGGTTTTTGGTGAGTGCATTCTCTGCCTGTGAGTAAGATTTTTTCTCCATTGAGTCGCAGTCCCTGGACACGTGCTCAGTGGTGACTGATTTGCCTGTCTCCCCTGTTTGGACAGAGGCATACTTTTGTGTCCTAAAGTATCCAATTCAGTATTCTCCCAAACCATAATCCCTATGAAGAAATTGACAAATTGGGTTTGTAAAGTTGCTTGTCCTCCAATTACAGCATTAAAATTAGAAAGGGAGGAAGAACTATACTTGGCCTTAAATGAACAAGAAAGTCCAAAATTCTCAAGTAAATTCTATACAGATTTTTTTTCCTTATAAGTGAAGTACTAAAGAAAGAAATGCCATGATGTGAGGTGGTGGCACACATCTTTAATCCCAGAACTCTGGAGGCAGAGGCAGGAAGATCTCTGAGGTTGAAGCCAGGCTGGTCTACAGAGCTAGTTCCAGGACAGCCAGGGCTGCACAGAGAAACCCTGTCTTGAAGAAAGAAAGGAAGAGAGAGAGAGAGAGAGAGAGAGAGAGAGAGAGAGAGAGAGAGAGAGAGAGAGAGGGAGGGAGGGAGGGAGGGAGGGAGGGAGGAAGGAAGGAAGGAAGGAAGGAAGGAAGGAAGGAAGAGAAAAAGAGAGAAAAAGAGAGAGAAAGAAAGAAACCACGAGATTTTTCGGTTGCCATAACTTTTGTGTGAGCTAAGTGCATTCATTCAGAGCTGATAAAGACTTCTAACTCAAAGCATTGTCTAGGAATAGGAACGCAAGCCCTGCAAACCCCTGTAAGAGTAAGTATTACAGCGCTGCTTTGGCATACAATTTGGCACTATTTAGTCAAGCTGACCATATTTTCTTGATAATTTCTTTGATCCAGAAACTGAACTCATGTGTTGATGTTCTATAAGAGTCTGTCTTAACTTGTGTCCCAGAGGAGCATGGACCAGAATACCCACAGCAGCACTGAGAACAGCACTTCAAAACTGGAAGCAACTTGAATTCAGCAGGAACATTCATGAATACATTGTGAAATATACACTCTGAAAGGGAATGAAATTGAAGATGGAAAAATCTCACTGATAAAATATTGAATAAAAATCTCCAAGTTGGAGATGAATGTGCAGAATATATTTATACTCACATTAAACACTTGTAATAACCATTGTATGAGAAACCACCTTGCTGCCATGGTAGTTTGTAAGCACACTACCAAGCAAGCCGTTCGTTCTACAGATCATAGAACAGGAAGGCTCACACGAGCCAAAGCAAGATATTCAAAGCACATGGCCAATTAAGTCGATTAGGCTCACCACAGGAGCATATTGGGCAAGTTAACACATTTTAGATCTTCTATTGACAAACGGGAATAATGATGCCTCAGTCCTTGACTCTCTTTTCTTTCTGCCACATCGCCCTTCCTCACTAAGAGTGTGCTCACAGGATCAGAGCTGAACAATTGTCGCTGAAGACTTGGGTTCCAGGGTTAGGGATTTAGCTAAGTGGTAGAGTGCTCGCCTAGCAAGCGCAAGGCCCTGGGTTTGGTCCTCAGCTCTGAAAAAAAAAAAAAAAAAGACAAAACAACAAAAAAGACCAAAAAAAAAAAAAAAAAAACCAAAAACAAAACAAGGTAATGAAGACTTAGGTTCCTAGGATTAAAAGCCACACCTGCTCTGCAGTCTTGGAGTCAGGACACTTGGCTGACAGAGCTTCTTAATCAGCCTCACGAGCAACCATGGTTATGTACCTGTCCATGCAAAGGATGTGAGGAGCCAGTAGCTGGCCGGGTAAAGACTTTGTGAATGGCGTGCTTCCTGTACCTTGAGTATCTCCAGTGCTTATGAATGTTGGATGATTTAGGGCCTCTTGCATATTTCATGTGTCACAGCTGGCGGGTACCCCTCACACCTCTCTAATTATGTGTGTCAAGCCTAGCACACCTAACTGACGCTTGCTTAAGGTCACTTATGATCTCTGTGTATATAGGCTACTTTAATTCTTAGTTCCATGTTCTCCATTTGTAATTCTCTTATTTTCTATAGCAGACTTGAAGTCTTCACACACATTATAAATACCCGTGAAATACATTTACAATAAGATAAATGTTTGGAAAGAATTTAAGATCTGGCTATCTGATAGAGATGGAAAGGGATGTGTTCCTTATGAGAAACTAGAGACATCTAACTATAGGGGTAATGTGTCATTTCATAGTGTGGATGGTGAGTTTATAGGTATTTGTTATATATTAATTATGTATCGATTTCTTCTAATTGTAAATGAAGTATGAAATGATACAGTACTTAGACCTTCACATGTAATAGGAACCTGATTATAAGTAGCCAATTAAGTTTAAGGCACATATTTTTGTGATCTTTGTGACATCATCAACATTAGTCATAAAATACCCATATATGAAGATTACATTAATCTTAGAGAACCACTTCTAACTGTGTCTGGTGTTGCCTAAATTAAGGTTTGTTTCCTGGACAAATGAACTTTGCTGTACTGTCAACACAGACAGTGTGGTCGAACATTCGACATGATCCCACGGATCCTGTAAGCGCTGCTCTGCAAGTGGAGTGAGCTAGGCTGTGTGCTGGGCCCGCTGTTCCGCAATCTGTCATCTGCTCGGATCTGTGAGTATCTTGGAAGACTCTCTCTTCCCCCTCTAGAAAGGCGGCTCTCATCCAACATCTTCAAAGGAATTCATGCTCATCATGTGATAAAAATTCCTGAGATTTTGTAGCTGGTGGTCACGGTTGGCCTCGAATACTAAACAAATAAAATCTGCAAACTGACACTCTTCATTTCTTTTTCTTCTTTCTTTCTTTTTTTTTTTTTTTTTTTTTTTTTGGTTTTTCGAGACAGGGTTTCTCTGTGTAGCTTTGCGCCTTTCCTGGATCTCGCTCTGTAGAGCAGGCTGGCCTTGAACTCGCAGAGATCCGCCTGCCTCTGCCTCCCAAGTACTGGGATTAAAGGTGCGTGCCACCACCGCCCGGCCACTTCTTAATATTGCAGTTTTTTTTTTTTTTTTTTTTTTGGTTTTTCGAGACAGGGTTTCTCTGTGTAGCTTTGCGCCTTTCCTGGAACTCACTTGGTAGTCCAGGCTGGCCTCGAACTCACAGAGATCCGCCTGGCTCTGCCTCCCGAGTGCTGGGATTAAAGGCGTGCGCCACCACCGCCCGGCTAATATTGCAGTTTAAATGAAGAGAGGCATTAAGACGGCTCAACTCTTTGACCCAAGGGAGCCTACACTTGCCTAGGTTTCCCACCATAGTAAGAGCCCCCAGTGGGCAGGGCCTATTCCCTAGGCTCCCCACCATAGTAAGAGCTTCCAGTGAGCAGGGCCTATTTCCACTGGCTTGGGAAGCTTCAACTACTGCATGTAAGAGAACATTAGGATTCTTGAGTCTTGGGGCGGAGACCGCAGGGCCAGGTACAGCTCAGCAGCGTGCGCTGTACCTACCATTCTGGAACAGAATAGACTCTCTGTCATATCTCTGTCTCACTACTTAATTTTAGTTCAGATTCTTGATATTTAAAAGAAATT